AGCTATGAAACAAACATGGACATATAGTTTATGAGGGTAAATAATCAAATGCAACTTGAGCTACAAAACAAATGTGGACACACAATCCACGAGGGTAATACTAACCAAACATGGCTAGAGCCACAAAACAAACTTAAGTACGAGACTCATGAATAGCAAACGTGAGAACAGAGCTCACAAAAATCAAACTAGTTAGTCATTAATCATGGCACGCCAAAGGCTAATGGAATTGTCTTTAGCAACTAGTGTTCTGTATAAAATTTTCCTTTAAATCTATTTTCAAACATGCGAGAAAATTATTACTATAAAAATAAAATTTTCATTCTCAAAATCCAACTCGCATGAAGAATTTTGAGCATTAAAAGCTTGCTAGAATAAAATTTCATAACTAATGTCCATACTTGTATTTATTGGACAATCAAAATTTTCCAAAGCTAATCAAGATAATTTCATAAATCTTGAAAATAAGAATCTTAGAAAAATTTACATGTATCTACCACATCACATTTATTTCGCCGCAATAATCTTATATTTCACATGATAAAATAATTTAATTAATAGTATAATCAAATTATCATAATAATTAGAAATGACCTTCGTAAAGACAGATGAAATCTTTTAGTAAAATTTATTATTAGTAAAATAATTGGGATGTCATTTACTTACTTGAAAGTTTTTTAAAGTATAAGGTCCTCCTCTTACCACATTAATCGATTTCCTCTCCTTCCTTCCAACATCCTATAAAATATATTAGGGTCTCAATAAACTTCTAACAATACTAAAAAAAAAATTTATATGAAAGTCGACTATTCAATCTCGATTATTATATTTTATTTTAACAAGACTTTTGGATGCCCAGTGTTTTTAAAAAAAAACTTTAAGGTGCACAGCACTTTTAGAAAAAGAGTTTAAAGGCAAATTAGCACTATCGAAGAAGCACCAATACTTTAAATTACCTAACGTATCCATATTAGTATCATACTCGATACCGATATTTACTGTTACTTCTTTGATACACATCCATAGAATATTAAAATATTATTTTTTTAAATTTTTGAAAATTTTAATTTTTGATACTATCCCAATATTTTTAAATTACGAGTTGATACTTTAAAATTAAAATTTTAAGACTATTTTTAAGAAATTAAATTTTATTAAATATTGCCATATTAATTTTTTTGTTTCTAATATATTTCTGTGATTTGTTTTTAAAGTTAAAGATTATATTTTTCACTAAAAAAATAAGTTTTAGATAGGCTAAATATATTTTTAGTTTTTTAACTTTATATAAAGTTTTAATTTAGTCTTTTAATTTTGTAAAGTATATTTTTAGTTCTTTAATCTTAATATCGTTAGTTTTAAATGATTTTTTTGTCAATTATTTTTATTTTTAAAAAAATTAAACTCCATCAACATTTGATAATGTTTTGTTAATATTTAAAAGTTCAATGAAAATTTTATTGGAATAAAACTAACAATGTTAAGATTAAAAGACCAAAAAGATACTTTATAAAATTAAGAAATTAAAATGAAATATTGTATAAAGTTAAATAATTAAATGTATACTTTAACCATTTTAGATATAATAAAAGGATAAATTTTATTTTTAATTATAAAAATGTAGGAATATAATATTTTGGCATATAAACTCTAAGGATGGAACTATCAGCAGTGGCGGTGCCAAAACTTTAGGCCAGGAGGTGCAACATTTTTAAAATTAATAATTTAAAAATAATTTAATAAGTTTAAAAAAAGCATGTGCATACATTACAATTGTACCCTGTGTGACTTCATATTCTAGAATCATCGAGCAATTATTTCATTGTCGATGCTGAGAAAAATATCCTTTTCAATAAAAGTCATTAAATAATTATTCATCAATAAATCTTCCATACCATTCTGTAACTAATTTTTCACAAACTTTATAGTAGAAAAAACTTTTTTTACTGTTACTGTGATAAACAGTAATATCATTGCTAACTTAAAGAGAGTATAAATTAAGAGATAAATTATATATCTTTTTGTGTCCACCAATTTTTATACAAGACTACCAATTCTGTTTAACAATACAAATTTAGTATTACTTCGCATTAATGAGATTCAAATTTAAAGATTTCAAACCTCACACTAAAAGACAAAACATAAGATTATAAATATATTTTTTTCTACAACGACTCAATGAGAGAGTGATAATACACGTTGGTGATGTTACTAAGATGAGAACGAGATTGTCCCATCAGTCCTCCTCTTTCTAACTCTTTATCTCTTTCTCTTGACTCTTTGTTCAGCTTCAGCCTTCAGGCTTCAGCAGCACAAACAACACCCTTTTGACGCTTCGTTCAGTTTGACGCTTTGTTCTTCTCTTTCCGCAGCAAGATGTAGGCGCAAATGGACGTCAACTTCAAGCTTTCTCTTTCTCACCCTTCTATCAATTATTAGGTTAGTTTTTCTCTTAATCCTAAAAAAATATCAATTTATGTATAATAAATTTATTTTTTAATAAAAATAAAATTAATGTTTGAATTTAATGATTTTAAAATTTTGGGTTGAATTTTTTTGGGCTTCAGCAATATATTTAAAATATTTTAGAACCCAACCATTTTAAATTTGGGATAGGAGTGCAAAATATTTAAAGTAAATTGTAAAATATACTACCTTTTTTTTGTAATTTTTTTCAAAGTCAGGGGATGCATTTGGCCCCTAACTTCTTCACAGCACCGCCCCTAACTATCAGCAGAGACTAGACGGTAAATAATTAGGTGGAGATGAAATTAAAGTATAATTAATGATTTTATTTTGATTGGTATTACTATAAAAAAAACTATATATATATATATATATGCTATTTCTAAATTAAAAGTATATTTTTAATATTTTTATATTTTTTATAAATATATTTGCATGTATCGAAAACATATCGTATCCTATCTTTTTAAAAATAAAAATATCAACATACCAATATGTGTATCAATGTTTGTGCAACATAGAGCATCATAGGATATGGTCAGAGTTTTACTTGTCATTGTGCGTGAACTCTATGTACACATCTCACGTTAGCAGAAAATGAAAAAAATTAATGACTAACTAATAGAAGGGTTTTTTGCTCTTCAGAAAAATAATTTAAGGATAAAATTATTTTACTTATTAGTACATAATATTTAGCGTTCTAAAAAAAATTCAGGAGTAAAAATGTATCTTAATCTTAAATTATACAAACTAAAACTTAAAAACAATTAAAATAATAGGGTTATCTATAAATTTAATCCTTAAACTATAAGTTTAAGAATGTTTAAGATTCTAAATTTATTTTTTATATAATACCTCTACTTTTGAAAACAATGCAATTTATAGCCTATATTTTTAATAAAAAATTAATTTTAACTATTAATTAACTAGAAAAAGGCACAAAAGTATCAAAAATTACAAGAAAAAAGACCAAATGAATTTTCATATAATCTTGCAATACAAAGAATCTCGGAGTAAGAAAATATTCCGATTTTTTATTTCAGTTGTTCATCCATTTTGGACGAAGAAAACTTAACGGACGCAACGAGCATAATTACAATGTCACCATCAAATATCATACTAAAGTGGATGTGACATCTATAAAAAAACTAATTATAATATAATGTTAAGGCAGAATGACCAACCGAGTTAATAAAAGCATGGAAATTTTTTGAACTTGGGCACATATTTGCAAAGATTCATACAAGCAAAACGAATATAAAGAAGAAAATAATATAATAAATTTTTTTTAAATTATATAAATAATATTTTAATATATTAAAATATTATAATTTTTTTAAAGTCTTTAAAAACTTTTTTATTATTAAAGAATTAATATAAATGACTAATTACCTTTAATTCAAATATCAATTGTTATTTATAAATGTTGTTTTAAGATTCATATCTTTTCTTAAAATGGCAAGAATTCAACAACAATTTACAAGTTTATATTTGAAACCTCAATATTCCTCAAGTATTGTAAATATTAATTATCATTTATAAGTTTTATTTTAAAATTCACGACTTTTTTTTTTTAAATTACAAGAATTTAATAGCAATTTGTAAGTTCATATTTTAAAATCTTAATATTCTTCAAGTGTTGCAAGATCAATTGTCATTCATAAATTTTGTTCTAAGATTCACAATTTTTCTTCTTAAAATCAAAAGAATGCAATAATAATTTGTAAATTCACATTAAAAATCCTGAATTAAGGACAATTTGATAATTTACATTAATTACTTAATGATAGAAAAGTCTCTAAAGACTTTAAAAAAATTATAATATTTCAAGGGACTAAAATATCATTTGCATAATTCAAAGGATTTTATTGCCCTTTTTTTAATAAAAAAGTATGGAACTACTTTTTTTTTTTTTGAGAAGATTGCATTGCAGGCCCCTATAACCAACATATTCACATTTAAAGTCCAATAGAATTTGAAATAATTCTGTAGGTCCAAATATCTCTCTTGCAATTGGGGTTTTTTTTTTTTTTTTTTTTGTTTTGGTGAAAAGACTGAATTGCATATTATTTCTTCTAAGTTAAAATCCGTTGTAAATTAGAAATTACCACTTATATATATTGAGGCTCAACATTGTCGCCAAAATCAATAATTAATCTTGGCCTGTGTATGTTCAACAACAACAACAACAACAACAAGCCTTTATCCCACTAGGTGGGGTCGGCTACATGGATTGCAAGACGCCATTTCTTTCTCCATTATGAAGTTAGTGAATATTGAACTACAAATCTACATAGTGGTAGTAATCCACCTCCAATTGACAGAGGCATGACAGCATCCAACATTTTACCAAATGAACATACACAGGCCATATGATTATGTGAGGTCTTCTTTCCCCTTAACTTTCGAGTTTTTCACAGAAGAAAAAAAGGAACGAAAACAAAACTTCAGCAAACAGTGGTAATAGTTTAGTACATATCATTAGCAGACTTCTTCATAGCATGAGCCAACCTAACGTCGGACAAACAGGCTTATTATAAATATAGACGAGAAACAGGATTACTTGACAAGACAAAACAAATCTTTCTAGTTGGATAGGATGATTGGTTCGGAGAGACTGCCTGCCTTTGCAAATAGTCCCACCTGGCACATGAAGCTGAGTTTGATTCAAGTGGAAAATAACCGATCCTTGATGCAGAGCCAGAAATTCCACTGTCACCCTCTGCACTTTCAAGGGATGTTTCCAAGGCTAGACATTCCTTCAAATCAGCTACTACATGACCCATCTCAGGCCTTTGAATTGAAATTGGTGGAATGTAAGACATGCCTATCTCTAAAAATTTCCATGCTGAAGCAGCATTGAATTTTCCCTCTAATCTTGGATCCACAATGGATTGGATATCCCCACTCTCCAGCCTTGGACTGACCCAATTAGATATGTGATTTGTATTGCCGCTTGTTCCTATTATTGCTGGCCGACCAGTTATAAGCTCAAGTAAAATTATCCCAAAACTATAAATATCACTTTTCTTATTTAGGTTTCCAGAGTTATGGAATCTGCAAATTTTTCAAGATTAAGTATCCATTAAAAAATTTGTGTTTTCATGTGATCCTAGATTTGGCCCAAAAAAAATAATGTCATGGTACATGTGCTCAAAAGACAAAGATGCCATTTTCAATCTATTCTAGTACATTTTGCTGGAAGTCAATAAATATAGATGCTTAGTATTGGAGAAACTTCTCTAAATTTTGTTTAGATTTTCAGCATTATGGAATTTGTAAATTTTGCTTGAATAATTATCCATTGAGAAAATTAAGCTAAGCAAATATAATATTTTAGGCACAATCACTGCTACATCATCAGTATTGGATTATTTTGAGTTGCACTTACGTATATGTAATGCTAGAAGTGTTTAAAATGCTATTCACAGGCTACTCTACTTTTCTAACGTTCAGGTAAATGGAACAAATTTCTTTTATGCAGTTGTTGCCATCGGAGGTGGTAATAAAAGTTTAGAAATCAGGGGAAAAATGTACTCAGGATCAAGATAACCAAGTGTGCCAGCAGGACAAGTTGAGACTTTAGTATCGGTGTCGTCGAGAAAAGCTCTGAACAATCCAAAGTCAGCAATCTTGGCTTGCATGTTTTTGCTTAGCAAGATGTTAGAAGTTTTCAGGTCTCTGTGGATTATTGCTGGCTTATAACCATTATGTAGATAGTCCAACCCTGCATTTTTATTGAGCAACAAGATACTTTCTAAAGAGAAAGGAACATGGATTGATAATTTCAAAGAGGGGGAAAAGTATTTCACACACCATATGCTGCATCCAATGCTATTTGAAGTCTATCATTCCATTTCAAAACACGCTGGTTCTTATCTGCAAAATATTTCGGTTGTGCATAGAGAAAGAGTATTTAGGTTGTGTATCAATTCATTGCCTGGATGTTTCTTAGGGTAATGTCACGGCAAATCCTAAAACAGCTTTTAACGAGATTTGTAATCACCTAGAAGAATAAGGATATTGAGATTGATATGAGTGCTGTAACAAGATTTTGAACACAGGACTTGACAAACCTGATAATTTCTGTCGGAGATTTCCTTCAGGCATGTATTCATAAACTAGTGCTTTCATGTCACCATCGTTACAATAGCCAACAAGAGAAACCAAGTTCCTATGATGAACAACCATCAAAAGTTCCACCTGCATTTTGAATTTGAGCTTATCACCACTAAACAAATTAATGTTGAAGTTCACTATAAAGGAAACATTGATCAAATCCTTCATCAATAACTAATGATTTTTGCTTCTAACCTCTGACTGAAATTCCTTAAACCCTTGTTGTGATGACTTCGACAGTAACTTGATTGCAACTTGCGTATCATCTTGAAGGGTGCCAAGATACACTTTTCCAAATCCCCCTTCTCCAATTACGGTTTCAAAGTGATTGGTAATACTCAGAACTTCAAGGTGATTAAATGTAAGATTTTTCGATTTCAGTTCCCCGTCCTTCTTGAATGGAGAAAACTTCACTACAATAATGGGGGAAAAATTCAAAATAGCATCATATGTGCATAATTGAATTTGAGTGATTTTAGAAACAATATATATATATATACACATATAAAATAAAATGTTAGGGGAACTTGAATTACAATTTACTGGGAAAATGCACAGGTGAAGAAACTTCAAAAAAAATAAATTCATGCAAAAATGAGTTCTGCAGAAAAAATATTCTGTTCCTGATGATGCTTCTTACGCATCTCTGAAATTAATCAGTCCTCAAATTAGTTTTTTATAATCTGTCAACTTTAAAAAGTTCGGAAAAGTAAATTAAAGCACAAAATTTGCAAAGCTAAAAAAAAAAAAAAGCTTCCACTGATTCAGAAAGGCAAACTGAATACAAAAGAAAAAAGAGAGTGTAAGTAAGCTCACCTGGGTGACCTTCCATGTCACTTTGTTTTTTCATTTTATGCTTGCAGAACATCACAGCAATACAGGCTAGTATTACAAGAACTGCTACAGAAGCTGCCACGGATGCAATAATTGGTATAATGGACTTCTGTGTTTTGGCTCTGCAAACACCTATTTGACAGAGACCTGGATTTCCATCCAAACTAGGAAAAAATACAACAGTCAAGTCGTATGATTGAAATATGATATGCACATTAGTAACTAGCATTTGGACTAATGCTATTAATAATGATGTGAATTAAGACTACAAATATGTTTCAACCTAAACTTCATCACCAGTGAAGGAAGTAAAGAGGGCAAATTCTTCTGAACATTCTCAATATAAACGGAAGAAATGCCGTTCTATGCAGACAATGCAACTGCAGAGCACAGAATATGAGCAAACCTTAACATCAAAGTAGTGCCATTCTTCTCCCTTAAAGCCTTGGGAATTGAACCAGTGAGATTGTTCCCTGACAAGGTACTGTTAATAATACATCACGTGAGAAAACCACAACATTTGTGGAACTAGCTAGAAGGTATTTTTCATATGCTAAAGCACCGCAACTCGCATTCGTTTCAAATTGGGTAGTTCTGCTAAAAATTGAGGTATTTCTCCTGTCAATTGGTTGTTGGGCAAATCCCAGCAACATGAAACATATAATTAATTAGATGGAATTATTACATGAGAGTTTTCATGCCTTATGCACAGACTATATTGTGAAGCTTCTATATATATTGCCTTGGATAATGAATGAGAGTAGAAAATGTAAGATGACATATTACTTACAAGGACTCCAACTCCATGAGTTTGGAAAATGAAGAATTTATCTCTCCCATCAGGTTGCATGAGCTCAAGTTCCTGCTTATTTTTTTGTTAAGAATGGAGATTTGGCCGTAAGAACTACCTCAAGCAGAGATGAATAGAGAGATTGAAAGTCACAACATAGAAAAACTCTGTTTGTTCTAGTTAAATAGAATTGACATATCAATAAACAGCAAGTCCTGAAAGAAATTTTAAAAGAACGGAAGACCACTCACAACGAAGTCACTCTTGGAATGTTGTCAGAGTTGCAATTCAGACCTTCCCATCTATAATCTCTTGGCATGCATGGATCTCCTTGCCAGTCGATTCTCGTGATGTTATAAGCATGCTTGATATTCCGCATAGCATCGACTGGTATTTCCAGCCCCAGAAGAAGTAATTGTTCAGGGATTTAGCATACAATAAACATAATAAAGAGAGACCAACTTAAGAGAGTAGACCAGAACGATATAGAAATAGAAGAAAACAATAAATTTACTTGCCATCTCGTTCATGAGTTGGTGCATTTGGTTGGAGTAGTACCCTGAAGATCTCTAGAGCATTGATCATGGGTGGCAAGCTAGAACCTGGGGAGCTTGTAATTGAAATATTATTTAGACCGAGCCCCTTTGGAATTATCCACCGTATGGTCTGGAGCTCCTGATATTTAAGAGTTACAGACAGTCGGTCCGTATTGAAAGCAATGTCCATCTTTCTTAGCTGATTTTGCGGATGCTCCAAGAAGTCAAAAAAATGAAGGTACACGTAATATTCATACTCTGCATCGTAATCTGACAAGTCGATAAATAAGGAAGAGTAGCCTTTCTGTGATTGGATTGCAGTGCTCAATACTTCATTTGGCAGCTTGTAGTCAGTTTCATCACTGTGAATCGTTTCTGATGCATTGATTCTCTCTGAGTTTTCAATCTGCGGATTGAGCCAAGACCTGCCATAGATGTCATCCGGGTACCTGTATTATTTTTTAATAGAAGACGTTAATATCTCCTAGGATGTTAACAATCTTTCTCCTTAAAGCGTGAGTCCATCAAGAGCTCCTTCTCTTTTATTATATACTGGTTATTAATAACAAATGATAAAACATACATATTTATAAGAAAAATTTTATCGAGGTTGAAAGAATAAAAAGTAATTAACGAAGTGGCTGGAAATAGTTACCTGATGAAACTAGAATCTCCTTCAGACATTCCCAGATTAAAGCGGGCCATGAGGTCTAGGGGCAATGAATTGGAAGTGGTTCGATATATAGAATTGGTAAGAGGCCAAACTTCCAACAACGAAATGAAAGGAGCTCCGTTGCCAGTGTTGATAAGACAGACATAAATGTTGTCGGTTGAAGAAACATGAATGATCTCCATTCGTTCAATGAAACCAATCTCGGTACTGTCGAGATCAGTGTCAGTCCAGAAATTGACGCCAAGCTGGAATTGGAAGGAAGGGACTGAATTGTTGAGGTCATAATTTCCATACATGTAGTAAGCTCTAACGAGATAGTTGTTGCCTTTGCCTTGTATGGGTTTCAGGATATAACAATTTCTTTTCCCTTCAGGAAAGCTTCTTAAAGTGTTTAACTGCTTCCATGCCTGTTCTTGTGTATCATTAAGCATATATTTAGAAGATACATTATGCACTTTGCCTGATTCTACCACATTTCCATCATCTGCCTCATAATAAAAGTTATTCTCGTCCCAACTTGCTTGGGTTACTCCACAATCAATGCTTATCCCCTCTGTTAAATTGGAAAAGAATCAGCCAAGTAAATATGGATGGGTACTCCTTCGCAAAAATACAAACAGCTCTAAACAACCATCCCTATACTGATAAAATTTTATTTTCGTAAAAGCATGCATTTTTTTTTAACCTTAATCCCAATTTTTCATAAATTCACATTAAACATAATGGGTAAAACGGAAAAAATTCTATAAATATTCTAATATTACCCTTTCCTCTTTATTATATTTTTTCTCTTTATTTAATGTTTGACATATAAAATTATATTAAATTGAGTATTTATAAAAATTTATATTTATGTTTTATAAAATAATGTTGTAAAATGTATTTAATAAATTTTATTAATACATGTAATTTAATCTATAAGTATTCAATAAATTGGGACAGAGATGGCACTTCATATAAAAGTTTTATGAAATTAATTCAAAATAAGTTAGAATTTTGTATTATTATTAAAAATTAGAAGTTATCTTATGAAAAGTTATATTTTTCAAATAATGTTAATTTTTTATATCCAAAAAATTGTATACGCACGGAATTTTGTAAAGTATATATATATATATATATATACAGGTGTATTAATGTGAATTTAGGTGTTAATCATAAAAAGTGAAACTTGTGTCTGCTCTGTTTGATCTGTACCACAAAACATTCATTCTCATCCATTTATTAAAAGTTAAATGAGCAAATTAAACTTTAAATTATAATTTTAAGAATTTATGAGACATTAAACTTATTGTTTGTATAATATTTTTTTTAACTTTTAAAAGTGATACAATCTAATTCATGTCATTAATAAAAGTTAACTTTAATCAATAGTTAATCAGAAAATTAAAAAAATCTCAAAAATTATAAAAAAAGACCAAACATTTTCTTGGTCCTTTTTATGTAATCTTTAAATCATTTACTGTAATTTTTTATCATTTTCTATAATTTTGAGATTATTTTCTATTATTTTTAGTTGAATAATGATTAAAGTTAACTTTTGTTTATGATAAGAACTAGATTATATCATTTTTCAAAGTTTAAGGAGAAGTTTATACAAAAAATAAATTTAAGGTTCTTGATGATCTTGGATATATAATTTAGGAAGTCAATTTACTTTTTTACCCTTTGTAAAATGATAGAAATTCTTCCGTGTATAACCAAAAAAAGCTCTAATAAAGGTTTAAAGGCCCTTCATACCCACTAAGTATTTCTTTTCTTTTTATTCTACACACCTATTCATTAAATATAGTCATCTCTCTTAAGAATATTTTAAGTCTTAATTTATCATGTCATAAAAAATTAAAAATATATTTGATTTAACTTTCCGTTGAGGTTGGAAATAGCCCAAACTCAGTGTATGAATAATCTTAAATTGATATTTGTAACTTCTTGGGAAGTTTGTTTTTAAATATTTTTCCTCATTTATTATTGTATAATAATGAAATTTTTTTTTTTAAAAAAAGATAAGTTTCATAAAACTTATATCAACTTTAAATGATATAAATCTATATATTCATATATAAAACTTGGATAAGATGTGATGGGACACAAGTTTTATTATATATGTCAATGTCGATGATGATTCACAATTATGATAATTGAATAAGAATTTTTTTAAAAATGATAAAAAAATTTTTGAAATTATGTAAATGATAATTTGATATATTGAAACGTCATGATTCTGTTAAAGTTTTTTAAAAAAATTTTATCATTAAGGAATTAATAAAAATAACTAAAGTGCCCTTAATTCAAATATCAATTGTCATTTATAAGTTTTATTTTAAGACTCAACTTTTTTTTTTAAATCACAAGAATTTAACAGCAATTCATAAATTTGAATTTAAAATCTCGATATTCCTCAAGTGTTGCAAATATCAATTACTATTTATAAGTTTTGTTTCAAGATTTATAATTTTTTTTTGAAAATCACAAGAATTCTAAAGCAATTTGCAAGTTTGAATTAAGAGTAATTTGATCATTTATATTAATTTCTTAATAATAAAAAAGTTCTTAAAAACTTTAAAAAAATTATGACACTTTAAAATATTAGAATATCATTTACATATAATTTAAAGGAATTTTATTATCATTTTAAAAAAAAACTACAAAGTTGAACTAATTAAAGAGAATGAAGTGTTGATAATGAATAAAGCTTGTTCTGAAATAGAACAAATAATGATTGAAAAACGGGGCGAGTGGCGTACGCAATAATTACCTGAATTGCCAGCTTCTGCGAGAACCTGAACTGAGTGGCTAGCAAAGAGGAATAGAACAACAGACACACACAAACTATTGTTCATGCTTTCAAGTTTAAAGGAAGAAGGAAAGGAGAAAGGAACTTTTTGGCAGCTCAGACGAAAGGCACTGCTTCCATTGGCAGAAAAATGAGTATAAAAAGACTCACAAGTAAGAACAGTTCAACCATTAGTTGGAACGTGGACTTGGTCTCAACTTTCTTTCTTATCCTTTTGGAACATTTAGTGCCTTGCTTTTGACAGCACAAGAAGACGATCCGGGAATTGAATGTGCTCATTTCTCGTTCTCTTTCCTTTAACCTACTGGTATTGTAGTTGTAGGAATATCTTAAAAATATATGATATTTTTAATTAAATCACACCTTCAATGAGTAAATTAATAAATTAATTAATAGTTTTTAAACTTATACCATTTTTCTATATTTACTTTTATTTAATAGAATTTTTTAATTGAAGGTGAATGTTTAATTGATTTATTTTTTAAGAGTAATTTAGAGGAAAAGACTCATTAATTACATATTAAAAAACTAAAAATGCTTTATAACTTTTAACGCCAGAAAATGTCTTATATTTTTTTATGGAGAAAGTATAATGTAGAAACAAAATCATTTTTATCTTATTATCTTATTTGTAAGGTATGTTATTAACTTGTTAGAAAGAACAAACAATTATTAAAGCATGTATATTTAATAATGAGAAAAGTACAAATTTATTAAATGTTTTAAAGTTTCTTTGACTCAAATAACACATATCAAAAGTGATTTATAAATGAGGCAAAGAAAGTAACTTTTTCTATTGTTTACAATGCTAGCTTAGCCTTCCACATTGTTTTTCTTTAAATTGAAAAAAAAAAAAAAAAAGAAGACCAAGGTTCCCTGAACCCTTACCAATTAGGCAACTAAACTAACATCTCATTTGGTACGCTGAAATTAAGACTAAATGAAAGTGAAAGCATAAAAATTGCATGTTTGATGCCTATCAACCCAATTCTTGGAGGAACTCACCAACACCAAAATCAATGGAACTTGTTTCCATCAAGCCCCCTCTATGGAATGGAGTTCACAGGAGAAGAAACCCACTTTGATGGAACTCGATTCCATCATGCCTATTCCATCTTTATCCTTTAAATTCTAATTTTCTTTCCTCTTCTAGATGTGACAATGACCACCTTCTTCCTTAATGGCTCCCATCCACAACAATTGAGCTCATCCAGAAGGCGTGGACCCTGGCCATGCCCATTAACGAGAGGTCTGTGTCCAATTGGATCAAAGACTTTTCAACAAGCCATACTCACCTGTCTTATTTATCAAATGTTTCAATAATACTTTTTTGCCCGCACGTTAAAAAGAATTTGTTATTGTTGTAGTATTAAATTTATCAAAAATCATTTAATTTCTTTTATTTTTTGTCCTATTAAAACCTTGATTCACAATCGGCGAGATCAATAATTAAAAGTATTTAAGGGTGCAAATGAAAATCTATTACATAACATTACGAAACATTTTATATTTTCAATTAAAATATCTTTTAAAAAATATCTTATAAATAAAATTGTTGGGATTGACTCGACCACAAAATTCTGAATGCATTGTCAATAACGCAAATGCTGGATGATACAGTGTATATCAGCACATCAGGCTATTGCAATTTGCAACTGGTATTAAATGAATTAAATGCGATTCAATTTTGGTTTAATTGGCTGCAGTTTTTTATTTGGGCATTACTCCATCCATACCTATATATAAAAAATCTTTTAAAATTTTTTATACCTAAATATAAGAGATTGTTAACATATTTTTTAATAAATAAACAATTATACTCTTATTAAATTTGAAAAAAAACAGAGAAGTACTCTTATTTTTTATTTACAATAATTAGGAGCAAAATTAAAATATTACTATACTTTTAATTAGATCAATTTTTATTAATTTGTGTAATTCGATTAAAAATATTTCATATATAGAGACGGAGGGGGCATTTAATTCTTGTTCTAACTTCTATAAATATTCTGGACGATCAAAATTTCAAAATTCAAGAGAAGGAACCTCAATTTTTGTGCAGCATTGCTCTTAAAGAAGAGGTGCAATAATTTCATATTATAAAATACTCTTGTTCATTTTCATGCCAACCTATGCAAGCTTGCCTTCGAAACATCTTATAATGGGTGATAGGTACCGATGTTACTGGAGGTTTGCAATTGGGAGGCTAGAAGATTACTTTGCATCATGGAAATTTCTTGCTTTCACAGTCTCGTCAAAAGGAGACTGTTATTCGATAAGACATTAGTCATATGCTCTGGTTTATTATATCAGTGCTGATGGAACAAATTAGCCAATTTTGTGCTCCCATGTTTTCTTCTTCTTCTTTCTTTTCTTTACCTTTACTAACTTATAATGAATTGTAATATTTATTGGCTATAATAGATCATGACCTTTTTATCAAAAAAAGCTTCTATAAATATTCATGTGCTCAATGGCATAATTTGTTCTTAATATTCTTAATAATTTAGAAAGGGTGAAAACATTAATAATTTGAACTTAATGAATTGTATAAATTTGCTATGGTGATTATTCTCAATTTATAAAAATAAATTTGCGGTGAATAAGCCCAGACTTAGCTTGTTTAAATAAACAGGCTAGACATAAAGCTTGGCCTGTGTATATAAAAACATTATCTTGTTTACTACTATAGTCTATTAATTACTACTACGGTTTTGAATTTTTTATCATAATATTATTTTTTAAAAGAATATATTTTTAGTGGAGATAATTTATTAAATAAATTTATTTTATCAGTTGTTATTTCATTTTTTTTTTTTTACAGTTCCTTCAACACAAGGTCAAACCCCCTGTCTTATTATATACTAGTTTTGCCCGGTCATGGTATTGGTAAAAACCGGGCATATTTCATACCAGGCAGAGCATATATACACCACAAAAATACTTCCACATATATAAATACTTCATGCAGGCATCAATGAAGAACTAATAAACTTTCTCTAATTGGTTCACAGATCTTCTTACTGTTCATCAAAGTATACAAATTAATGGAGGAACTAAAATCAGTGCATGTATATTTACCACACAAATACTTTCACATATAGCCATTTCAGCTGCAGAGTCTCTGACCCGGACGTATAACAAAAAAGTTTATTTAGGAAGGAACTGAAATCACTATATATCACAATAATAATTTAACGAGCAGGCATATTTAAAGAAAAACTAAACGAAGATTCCACCGTTTGTGTCAGTTCTTCAAATATAAACAATCCTATCTGACATATGGAGTTGAGAGATCTGATTCAAGTGAAACGCAACAAATATCGAATGTAGTGTTTAAGATTCTACTGTTTCCTTCCGCATTTCCAAGGGATAGCTCAAGAGCCAAGCATTCCTTTAGATCACATTTACAACATGACTGATATCAGGCCTTTGAATTGCAATTGGTGGCATTCAAGACATGGCTATCTCTAAGAACTTCCATGCTGATTCTGAGCTGAATTCTCCAATATTTAAATCTTGGATCCATAATGGAATGGATATCTCCATTCTCCAGCTTTGGACTCACCCAATCACTTATGTGACTTATGCTGCCATTTGTTCCTGTTACTGCCCGCCGACCTGTTATTGGCTCAAGCAAAATTATCCCAAAACTATAAACATTACTTTTCTTGTTCAGGTTTCCAGAGCTATGAAATCTGTACATTTTGTAAGATTAATTAGCCATCATAAAGTTGAATTTATAAGTAATGCTATATATAGAGACTAATTTCTCCTATGGAAAAATTTTGCTCCAAAAAGTTAATCAAAGATCTTTTTCCAAAGGAATGGAATATTTATCATTGAAGGGCATACTCAGGATCAAGGTAACCAATTGTGCCAGAAGCTTGACTTGATACGCATGTGTTAATTTCATTAGCAAAAGCTCTAGATAATATGAAGTCAGCAATCTTGACTTGCATGCTTTGGCCAAGATGTTGGAAGCTTTTAAATCTCTTTGGATTATTGGTGGTTGCACCCATTATGCAGGTAGTTCAATCCTATACTTCCATTGAGCAATATAAAATAGTTAGCTTTGAACATATAATAAATGAAACAAATAATAGCTAAGGCCAACAGAAAAAGAATAAACAGTTTACACACCACAAGCTGCATCCAATGCAATTTGAAGCCTCTCATTCCACTTCAAAACATATCGGCTCTTATCTGCAAAATATTTTGAAAGTGCAAAGAAAACTATCATTCATCTCCTGAAACGGATTATTTCCATGATTGGCTTTCATTCTTCTTTAGGGAAAATTATCATCTTAAGGACAAAACCATATATATGATTTATGATTTTCTGAATGGTTAAGTTGAATGTTCCCATATATATATATATATATATTCAACTAAAAATGTTGAGTATCTATGTGAGTTTTATATGTATATGGATGCATGTATGGGAGATGTCCTCAATGATGATTCTTTCGTAACTAAAATGCTTAAGGGTCATCAAGTGTACGTGCCACTACCAAAAGGTTGAATGTAAATATAGAACAGAGCCAAGTAACTAAGAACTTGAATCTTATTCTCTTATGATAAATATATTTTTTTTCTTCCTTCTAAGACAGAATAATCATAATGGTCAATTTCCCTCTGCCTGTTGTTTTAAACCTAATTAGCTTTGTCATGATTGAATAAAACATGAAGAAAAATAATTAAATGATTGAAAACCCAACATTGTTAATTAGCAAATTATATTTGCTTCTAATTACCTCAGATTGAAATTCCTTAAAGCCTTCTTGTGATGACTTAGTAAGTAACTTGATGGAAACTTGTGTACCATCTAGTAGTTTTACCAAGGTACACTCTTCCAAATCCTCCTTCTCCAATTACAATATCCAAGTTATTGGTGATGCTGCAAAATTCAGCACGATAAAATGCCTGAATTTTTTATTTCAGCTGCCTTATTTTCTTGCCTTGAATATGACTTGTATAAGAAAACCCAACAATAGAATTTTAATGCTACTTGAATTATAGCTGACAAAAAAAGAGCATAAAAAA